GGCATCTTGGCATTCTGTCATAGCTTAAACGGTGGTGGTGTCTGTTCTTAATTAGTAAAATAATAATGTGTGTGTTATAATTTATGGCATCTTAGACTTATGAAATGGTGTTATTTAAATAAAAATGATGACATTATGTAACTATATGACACTAACTGAGAGGACAAAGGAAACCAAAGCTTAAAAGGAACAACTACGGGTGGTTTATAGTTGCCAATAAAATATAAGACTTTCACTTAAATTAGAAGCAAATACTTTTTAGCATAAATATGGTCCATGTAACATGTGGGACATACTTACACTAAAAATTTATTCATTTATCTGAAATTCCAAACTCACGGGTGCTCTGTAATTATTTGTGGGTGTTATGCGAAGGGATCAAACCCAGAGCCTCTACCACTGAACTATATATCCCGCCCCTTCTCTTTTCCTCTTTCTTTTTCGTTTTTTGAGACAGGGTCGCATATGTAGTTCAGGCTGGTCAGGACTCTAGGTGATCCTTCTATTTCAGCCTCCCAGATGCTGGGATTATAGGCATCTACCACACCTAACTCTTTATTTTTTATTTTTTTAAAATAGCATCTTGCTATGTAGTCCAGGCTGGCATCAACATTAAGATCTTCCTGCCTCAGCCTCTGGAGTGCTAGGCTTACAGGTTTACACCATCACAACTGGCACTGTCCTGTAGTTTTAATTACTAAATCTGAGAGCCCATGCTGGTTAGGTACATTTTAGGAGCTTCTTGTTTTGCAAAGGTATTTCATAAAATATATTTTGTCTTTTGTGTATAGGTGTGTAGTACTGTACTGAACCCAGGATCTTCACACTAAGCTACAATCACCAGACTTTTAAATTTTTTTTTTAAATTTTGAAACAGGGTCTTGCTAAGTTGCCTAGGGTGGGCTCAAACTTACAACCCATCTGCCTCAGCCTCCCACAGTGCTGGGATTACAAGTGTGTGCCATCACATCTGACCATATTTAGTTTATATGCACATATAGCTATAGGAAAGAAGCAAAGAAGTAGCAACATATATTGTGCATTACTGGTATGTAGAGAATAAAGGATTCTATGAGCTGTTTCAACATTTAGCAATTTAAAACTCCTCATCCACATTAAGAATATACTTGAGGCATACAATCTGATCTACTTTCTTACCTCGGCATAGGCTTTGGCCCATGTACTTGCCAGTTGATGTAAATCTACTTCACCTGATTTCACAGCTTCCAAGGCTGCTTCAGCATCTTCATCATAATCTCGGAGGGATTCTTCTTCTATAAATTGGCTCAGAGCTTCTTTTAAGTCTGTAAGAGGGACAGTGAATACCATCATTAGCAAAATGTAGATGTAAAAAGGGGATATTTTACCTGACTCAGGCATGCCAATGTGAATCTAATACCCTTAAGAGAATTGTGAATTAAAGTAAAATCAGCTTAGGACATTTAGCTAATTGCACAATAATTTTTTTTTAGTACATGCTATCACATAAAGATCAAAATTCTCAGCTGTGACATAGAGACCTATAGATTTAAGAGTCTGAAGGCTATTTTTCACAAGGGAAAAACTTTAAAGTTTCTAATCATATCTTTTAAATTTGAAAGAAAAATGGATGATATGGCAATTGATTTAATTTAGAGAATCTGTGATTCCAGTTTTAGCTACTATTCAGAGATTGGCACAGTGGAGGGTGTGCCAGGTGAGGAGTCAGGACACCTACAGTAGCCTCTGGCCTGGCTGCCACTGTTTGTGACTTTAGACCAGTAGTTCACAATTTCTGGTGCACATCAGTTCCTTGGACACCTGACGAAAGGAATGCTGCAGCACCACCATAGGATGCCTAACTTGCAGGAATAAGTGGGGAGCAGATGCCTCATCTCTAACAAGCCACAGCTGATACCCTGTGCGCTAGTGAAGGACCACATTTTGGAGCATTGCCACCTTAGGCAAATAACTGACCTCTTCATGTCAGGTTTCCTTGTGAATATGATGAGACTGTGCTAGGAAATTCCTGTGTTCACAGGTAATTCCAACCTTCCATGATCAACATTTTCTTGGTTAAAATTTTTTCGCAGTCTTTGAGATGGAATATAGGCCTTTTAGAATGGCTTAATACAAATCACTATGGAACTAATTTAGGTAGGTAAAGATTGTTGAGAGATTAGTATTCCTACCTCAACACTGAACATTGGATCATTAAAAGGGCCATCAATTCAGCAATATAATTCTATAATACTATAGTTAGTGACACCTGAAAAGTCTTTATAAATCCACCTTACTTGGTTCAGAGGTTAAGAGCTCTCTTTTAGATTTCAACTAATTTTTCACTATATATTTTAATTTTTATACTAAGTTGCTTATAAACAAATACAAGGGTTATAGGAAAATACTTAATAAAACAATATTCTGGGGAAACCTTTTTACTCTTAGGAGTGGTTATGTTTTATTTATTTTATGTTTCCAACGTCTTTCAGGTTTTATGCTTTGCAACATAAAACTTTTAATGACAGAGCTCATATGAAAATAAAATAGTAGTAAGTTTTAAAAAATCAGACCTCACCATTTTCTATGAAGCATGGCAAATTGTGCAGCAGCATCAAACGTCCATGCAAATGACTGGGGTTCTCTTGAACAGGAAATTGGAGGGGCACCCTCAGTTTGAAGCATTCAGTTCCTACTTTGAATGTGTACACAAATTCTCTTTCTTTGTTGCAGAATCTTTCTCGATTTTTCTTCATATTCTTTAGTAGGATTTCTACAGAACAAAAAAGAAGCATTAAGTTATAAATCCATAAGAAAAGGATGTCTCATTATTCTCATACCATTTTTAAAAATCACTCCATCATTCAGATTTCATTTGTGTGACGCTAAGTCACCTCTTGTAGTTTTTTCTAGTGTTACTCCTGCTTCCATCTTTGTGATGTAAACAAAGTGTTGCTTCTTCTTTTCAACGAAAAGTTTCTTTTCAGACTTTATTTGAGGGAAGAATTGTGCTTACATAGGACTTTGTATTCCTAGGATGGGTTCTGAATACTAGCAAAGGAATAGAGAGAGAAAAGCAAAAGGATTTTTAGGAAAGGATGCATAAGCGGATAGATACAGAGCTTATGAAACAGTTGGTGAAACAAAATCAAAGAAATACAGCAGGGACCAAGTGGTGATTCTGGAGATCTTACAGGCTGTGGTCATAAGGTCTATTGGGACAGGAGGTTAAGAAAGTGTCAGAAGATCTCTGTGGGACGAAGGTATACAGAAAATAGTGTAGGACGTCCACTGCAGGCCAAAATGGCCATTTTAAAAAGAATCAAGGTCAATTAAGGATTTATTCATCAATCTCCTAACTGGACTCCCTGTTGCTGGGCTTTCCTTTATGAAATCAGTTCTCATACCATCTAGATAATGAAGTCAGAGTCTTCTTTCTTTTGAAAACAAATACATTTCATATTGCTCATCTCTTTAAAGCCCTTCTCTATCAGCCATTGCTTTCAGGATAAAATGTAAACTCCTCAACTTAGTTTACATCCCCAGAATCTTCTATGGGTGCATCTGCACCCCTCCTTACCAACGTAATAGCGACTACTTTTAATTTCTAACCATACTAGATATGTGTCAATACCAAACTTCTCTTTTCACTTTTAAGCTGCAATGACTTCCCCTTTCCCCACAGCACTGTCACTGGTCTTCATTTTCTTGGATAGCAACTCCTTGTTCTTCCAGTCTCAGTGCAGACAGCTCCCCAGAAAGCCTGCTCCAACTTTCTACTGGGACCCCCAGTGGGGTCCCCATTACAAGTTCTCATAGCCTGCACTTATGTGAACCAAGATGACTATCTATTTTTTTACCCTTTTAGAACAGTTCACTTGAAATGCGAAGGATTATGAACTGCGGTATTCTATGTGCCAGGCAGGATGTTGAGAATACAAAGGCAAAAGCTAATAAACAGCTCCGTCATTCAAGTAGCCGAATCTGCCACTTTCTGTCGAACTGTCAATTGGGGATAATCCCATTTAGCTTGCATGACTGTCATAATGATCAACCAAAAAAATAAATAATAAGAAAGTGACAAACAAGATGATCCATAAATGGAAGCCAGCAATAACAAAATAAGCTATCTAAAGAACATGCCAGTATAAAAATTACAGGTTACCCAGTTTACACGGTAAAATCAGAAGTAGTAAAAGCGCATTGTAGCAGAAGACTGACAGTTACAGAAATATGAGTTTTCAATGATCTAATGTAGTTTGGATTAATTACTTTCGGTAAACCAAGTCTGTTTCAATCAGCTCAGCACTCCGTCCCGTTGTTTCAACAAGCTGATATTTTAATTCCCACACTAGCTGTTTTGAGTAATGGTCTATCCTAAAGCCTTAGCTCGGTTTTAGCAGCTGTGAAAACCAGAGGTTTCTAGCAAGAACAACAACAACGAAAAGGGACGGGAGAAGGACAGGGCTGAGTTCCTACAGCCCACTGGGCAGAGGCGTGAGGCTGACAGTAGCCAAGGAGGCGAAGGCAGACTGCGGGCCGAGAAGCCCAGCCGAGACGCCCAGCCCAATCAAGGATCGCCTTCATTAGAAGGTTTCGGTCCGATGGGGTTCTTCGCTCCTGGGTGTGGGCTCACCTTGCTAATTCCGAAGCGCTTGGCACACTCGGAGCTGTCACAGACCGGAGAATCAAGGTACATCACCTGATTTGCCGCCTTGTTTTTCAACCAGCAGATCTTCCACAGCAGATTCGCTCACATCTGTTAGTCTTTTTGAGCACTGTGTAGAAATCTCCTCACTCCAACTGCCTGTTAGTTCCAGTCTGCCTGAGTTTAATCATTTAAAAAGTTCAATAAATTGGACTTGTACTGTTATTGCGCATTTCAAAGTCGGCGCCAAATCTGCTCCCATGACGAAAGTGCAGTGGCAAAGCAAGAACTGCGTTCTGCACAAACTGGGTCCTGGCCCAGCGGATGCGGAAATGCGTACCTCATGAGGGGCGGGATCAAGCGCCCTGTCCTCAGAGCGCATGCGCCGCCTTACGCTGGAGGGGAGCGATTGGAGGGTGGGCGGTGCTGGGGCGGGGCGCGCCATGTCTGTTTTTAGGCGGGAATTGAAACCACCGCTGGTGTAGAGATCTTGAGAGGTGCAGATTCACACTCTTTAAGGGGACCATGGTGCGGCCTGTAAGGTGACTGATTTATGACATCCCTCAGAGTGGGGGAGAAGGAGCGGGAGGACGCTGTAGGTGGTGCGGTGGGAGGGCGGTTACCGGGGCGTCTCCGGCGGGCGGGGGCCTGTGGCCCCGAAGCCCCTACGCCTTATAGGGTGTTGCTTCCTTTGCCTCCTTGTGCACCTGTCTCCGTTTCTTTTACCCACGTTTTTCAAATAAGACCTTGCCGTGTTAGCGCTTGAACACCAATTTACATTTCGTGGAGTGTCTGCTTTTTTACCATGTTCATCTTCTGATTTAGTGTGGATGTTTCTGTTTTATCAGTGTAAAGCTCCTAGGTATAAAGGCCAACTTACTTGTGTCGTGCAGCTAATAAGTCGTTGGACAGTACGCAGCCTAAGTCATCTGGTTCCAGATCCCGTGCTTTCGATTGTACCCGTGGAAGCGATTCCTGGACTTAATCACTGTTGAGTGTGTTGGAAGCCTAGGGTGGGCCAATCAGTAAGGCTTTGAATATGTTTATTTCTGTACTGTACTGGGTGCTGGAGGTTACATTCTAAGAGAAGGTAGGTTTAGGAGGGCTGAAAATGAACATCCTCGTGATAGCGGGAAAGAGGAAGGCCTTACCTTAAACGGGGTAGTTAATCCAGGTAAAGGGAACAAGAGCCATTGCCTGAGCTTGACGGTGTTTAAGGGGCAGGCTGAAGCTGTAGCATTAGCAAGCAGTGTAGAGAATTAGAATTGTAAGGAATCAGGTCGGATAAATGGGCAGATACTAGAATAAGTAGGGCTTTCAAGGCCTTAGAAAAGGGTTTGGATTTTATTCTGAGTCCAGTGGGAAGTCAGTGGAGAGTTTTACATAGGGGAGAGAAATCTAGTTTTGCTTTTATAAAGGTCACTGGCTGCTTGTGGAGAGATGGGGTGGCTAGAGTAGGAGAGCAAAACCACTAGGAGGCGTTTATCATTGCACAGTGGTTTGGGGTAGGTTATTAGTGGACAAGGGATGGAACACATGAGTTTGGTATTTTGGAGGTACTGCTGAAAAGTGGATTTGGAGGTAAGGGAAAAAAGGGTCAATAATGACTGTATTTTAGGTCTGAGCTACTGGATCTTTGTATTAACTGAGAATAGGAGGTCTAGGAACAAGAACAGATTTAGAAGATGTGAAAGAATCGAGATTTCTGTTTCCAACATGTTAAACTTGGAATCAATTTTAAGTGTCCAGGTAGTGACGATGTAGTTCCCTTTGGAACATCAGTGTAATCTGCAGACCTCGAGGGTTCCCTGGTATCTCAGGAGTGCCCGAAGCCAATACTGTTTTATTGAAATATTAACCCATCGTTGACTGTTTTCACTACTCTGTCATCTGCACTGCAGTGATGATGAAACCTCTGGTGTCTCAGCACAAATCATGGCAATGGCACCAACCTGTGATAGTGGTCATTGCATTCTTCACTGGCACGTAGAGTTTAAAAAAATCCTAATTTCACTTAAAAATGTGTTTGATGAATCATTAAGAATTATTTATTGTATCTTAATCCTTGAGTGTCATCCCTTACCATCTCCCTCTCCTGTCTCCCTCCTCCTCCCTGTCTGATAGGGAGGATTGAACCCAGGGCACTCTGCCACTGAACTACATCCTCAGCCTTTTTAAAAAGTTTTTTACTTTGCGACAAAGTCTTACCAAGTTTTCATCTGAGACTCCAACTTGCAGTTCTCCTGCCTCAACCTCTACTTTTCTTTTTAATAGGCTCCTGATTTTATTTTGCTGTTTTTCCTTTCCTGTTTTGTTTTATTGAGGCAGAGTCTATGTAGTTCAGGCTACCCACTTATTCATAGCGATCCTCCTGCTTCAGCCTCCCGAGTGCTGGGCTTAGAGGTGTGTCTACCACGCCTGGTGCTTTTCTGCTAAGAGGCTTCTGTGTTTTATTCAGTTCTTAAATTCTTTAACTCCAGAGAACAGGAAAGTAACCTAAGTGCACTTTTTTTACTATCACGTATATGGATATGAGAGGTCCACATGAGGCACACGTGAGTACCACGGTATGGTTAACTCAGGAAGCAGATTTGGGAGACTGAGGTGTGAACTAAGCTAGCCTTCTTTTCACAAAACTCCATTTATATTTAAAATAACAACCAACTGATAAACTAGGTAATTCATACTTGAGCATTTGGCAGAAGACAGAAAGAAAAACCAGAAGAAGTTTCATTTAGTTCTTAGAGGAAGAAAGAGGGAAATAACAATCTTTTTTCACTTTGAGTATTATATTTTTCCAGTGTCTTCTAACTAATATAAAGATTCATTTCTTGTAGCAGAAATAAAGCCATTCACTATTTTTTTTAAGTGTACATTGTATAAAACCATATTACTTGGTAGTTTGAAGAAATTTTTTAAAGTAGCTTTTAGTGTCTGGAGCAGTAACAGCAAACCTTTTAGAGTTTTCAGTGATATAAATAGCTGCTGTGGCATGCATACCATAGGTTTTCCACCAGTGTTCTAGAAGTTTACACACTAATAAGATAGAATGCAACATAAAAGAACATATATACAACAGGAATTTATAGAACACAAGAGCAACTAAACATATCAATGGTAATTGTTAATTGTGTGAATTTCCTTACTTCATGAGTTACCTGAATTAATTTTTTCTGTATCAAATAGAGTCTAATTCTGTCAGCTAGTGCTGAGCCCCTGCTGTTAAATGCAAATCATATTTTTAAGACTTAAGTATTTTTAAGAGAATCGAAACACATTTTCTTTGTTAAAGTCTATGAATAGCCTTATGGAACAAATGTATGAAATTGACATTTGTATTAATGAGAAATTTCTATGTTGGTCACAGAAATAAGAAGCCAGTCAATTACTCACAGTTTGAGGCTTCTGATAGCGATGGTAAGTAGAGCTTCTGATTTTTGCTTAAAGAATTTGGAAACTTATTTTCTTAGTGTTTATGACATGTCTAGCTTCAATATTTTGCATATTCCCAGTTGCATGTTAGATAAGTCTGGAAAAATAAGTCTGGAGGAAAATGAGGTTTAAGCTACGCCATATTGATTTTATGCTTGTCTTTGCCCTTAAGAGAAGTTTCATCCAGAAGTTTGAGAAATATAACATCAGATTAGATTTATAAACTCTAAAATAGTTTTTGCTTTTTTTGTGTGGTGCTGGCTGTGGAATCTGGGGCCTTACACATGCCATACAAGTGCTTTAGCACTGAGCTACACTGCCATCCTAGATGTTGCTTTTATTATTTCTTTCCCTAACTACCATAGTTTTACAAAAGTTAAATGTTTTAGTGATGCTGATGCCTAAGTTCAAAAAATACTTTCCTTTGGGCTCAGCCTTAAGTATGTTGACAACTGGAGGGAAAATAGTACAGAATATAACTTCTAGCTTTCTATTACAGCCTGCCATGAGGTATTTATAAATTGCCACTGGTGTTCTGGATCCTGGGTAGGATGGGAAGTGTAGAGAGTTGGAGTTACCATAGTCCTATGGGGGAAAGCACAAAAGAGACAACATAATAAATGCTGAAGTATGTGTTTAAGGTGACATGGATCCAGAATGTATGCCCACAGGTGTCATATGTATGTTTAAAAGCCACAGCAGTGTAGGATGTGGTGGTACACTCTTGTAATCCCAGCACTCAGGAGGCTGAGGCAGGAGGATTGCTATGAGTTTGAGACCATCCTGGGCTACATAGTGAGACCCTGTCTCAAACCCTTCCACACAAAAAGAGGCCACAGCAGCGGTTTTATATTGAGTGTCATGAGAACTACAACAATTTCCTGGTAGGGCAGGAAAACCTGTGAGAAATAATAATGAACTGGAAAAGAAGATCCAGAAATAAAGAAGTTACTTTTGTAGGCTTGTAGGAAGGTCACTGTAGGAATGGCAAGACAAAATGTCACTGTTTCAAAAATAAAACTCCTTAGAAGGAGCCACTTTCTTTTTCCCTGTCATGCTTCTTATTTTGTGTAGCTTGATTAATGTATTAGGAATAGGCAGTGTGCCTTTAAAAAAGACACTTGTTTCATTAAAAATCATTTCCTTCCACTTCTCACTGATGAAGCTGGAGAATTTTTTCTAATGGCTTTACAGTTTTTCTTTTAAAAGAGTTGAAGTGGATGAATGAGAATAGATAGCACTAATAATGATTTTTTAATTGAGCAGTTTACTGACCTGTAAACATGAACATGCTGTAGGAAATTTCAACCGCTAAGAAAATCAATTTATTTTATTTTTATTTCAAACATGAATAGATGATTTTATTTCTCCAACTGTACCTTTAAGCAAGAAATCGAGAATAACACCAACACCAAAAGAGTTAAAACAAGACAAACCAAAACCTAATTTGAAGACTGTCCAGAAAGAAGACATCCTACTACAAGAGAATACCCCTAAAAAAAGGTGAGAGGTAAGGCACAGGCAATATGATGTTAGCTGTGTTCATTTAAAAGGGTTTAAATTGGAATTTAAGGTGAGTAATTGGTCTTATTTTACATGGTATATGTCAGAGAACAGACATACTATTAAACCCTTTCTGACTTGAAAAATTCACAAACTAAAAAGCAGATATTTGCTTAAATATTAAAATAATAATAATTACAGATCCCTCATCTATCTTCAGTCCTGAAATCCTACAAGACTACGTTGTTAAAAATTCTGCTTGCAGGAATAGTTTTAAAAACTTAGAGCCATGTATTTTTCTCCAGGTGAATGATAGTTTCTTCTTGTGTTGTTGTGGCTTGTCCAGCAGTGAGAAGGTCATGTAGTGTCTAGCCTAACCCTGGAGTCTTGTTAGTGACAGAAAGGAGAGAGTAAGGAGAAAAGTCCTAAGAGACCCAGAATTTCTATGGAGAGGAAATGGGTAGAATGGTAGCACAGAGAAGCTTAGACCATGTCACACTCTTTAATTTTTTTAATTCAATTTTTTGCTCAGTTTGTGTTTGAGTTTCTTGTACCACAATCCCTAGATGGGGACCATATTTGCAAATCATATAATTTAAGAGACTTATATCCAAAGTGTATAAAGATTTTTTGTTTGTTTGTTTTGTTTTCCGGTACTGGGTATCGAACTCACCTCGTGCTTGCCAGGCAGGCGCTGTGCCGCTGAGCTAAATCCCCAGCCCCCTATAAAGAATTATTAACAGTAAAAGGTAATCCAATTAAAAATGTGGTAAAGATTTGAATAAACATTTCTCTGGAGATACACAAATAACCAGTAAATACAAAAAGATGTGTAATATTAGCTGTCTGGGAAATGCAAATTAAAACCACCTTGAAATAATACTTTCCACCTGCTCCATGTCTGTAATCAAAAAGATAATAAGTTTTCATGAAGACATGGAAAGAATGGAACTCTCATACATTGCCAAAGGGTGCAGCTAAATTGAGAAGCAGTTTGCAATTTCTCAGTGTAAAGTTATTTATCAATAGACAGATGCACAAGGGAATTAGAAACATAGGCTCCCACAAAAACCTGTGCATGACTGTTCATAGCATTATTCATAATTGCCAAAAATGGAAGCAATCCAAATGGCTGTCAACTGATGAATGAATAAAATTTTAAAAATGTAGTATCTGCAATGGAATGTTACTCGGCCACAAGGAGAAATGAACTATTGATACATGCTGCAGCATGGTTGAATTTTCAAAACATTATGCTGAGTAAAAGGAACCAGACACAAGAGGCCACATATTGTTTGATTCTATTTATTTGAAATGCCCAGAATAGACACATCCATAGAAACAGAAATAATTTGATTGGTAGTTGGCTAGGAGCTGGGCGATGAGCAAGTGGTAATGACTGTTAATGGATATGTTTCTTCTGAGGGGTAGTGAACATGTTATAAAAGTAGAGTGTTATTGCTGAGCATGGGAGTGATAGAGGTACACACCTGTAGTCCTGGCACTTGGGAGGCTGAGACAGGAGGGTCACTGAGTTGAGGCCATCCTGGGCCACATAGTGAATTTAACACCAGTCTGGACTACATAGTGAGACCCTATCTCAAAAAAAGAAATGTAGATTGTGATGATGGTTTCACAACTAGGAATTCACTAAAAACTGCTGGATTTGAAAATCACTTTAAAAAGGCAAATTTTAGGATGGATGAAATACATCTCAATAAAACTTAAAAACAATAAATTCTTCAAGGTGCATTTCAGTACTTTTAAAGGCAAATTTTAGGATGGATGAAATATATCTCAATAAAACTTAATAACAATAAATTCTTCAAGGTGAATTTCAGTACTTCCTCCTTTACATAACCTTTCTCTGATGTCTTTGACTTTTCATCTTTTTATGTTTCATGACACTTTTGACCAACCTAATAGAAGATTGATAATAATCTGACTTATGTGGAATGATTATTAGTATGTCTTTCCCCACCTTCCTTACTATGCTGCAGACTCCCTGAGGGTGCCATTTTAGTATTCAGGCTAGTGTAGTGCCTTATCCACCATAAATGTAGTAAACTATTTGTTAAAATCTAGATTGGGAGGATCTGATTTTTAAAAAGTTAATCTAAAGTCTGTAATGTCTGTTAAAGGCATAGATGAGGTCAGGAAAGACCTGTAAGTAAAAGCAGTGTTCAAAGCAAGCCTGTCTTAGGGGATTGAGTGCTTCCTGGATAGAACTGATGGGAGAAAAGGATATTACAATTAAAGGACACAGTAAGGGCAAAGGCATATGCTGCTCCTGTCCCAAACCTGTCAGCTACATAGTATAATGTGACACTGTTATGTTTTAGGAGTTATGTTATGTTTAGGAGTTAATGATGATTATTGTTTAAAAGCATTTCTCTGAGATTAATAATTCTTAAACAGTAACATAGGAAACTTCCAAGTTTTGTTATTTAGTTGAGATTGATATTTTTAACAACTTACTCTTGTATGTCTGTTTTAGGATGACCTTGGATGACAAGATCTTCCAGAGAGGATTAGAAGCTGCTCTAGCTTTATCAGTGAAGGAACATCCACCAGTCACCAATGATGTGCAGAAGTCTCAAGGTAAAAGTAAGGTGTTTTTTATATGTATTTATCTTTAAACCTTTTTGTAGTAATTTCTTTGGATGGCCCTTTACAGTAGAAAGAATAAAATTTGCATATTTTGAACTATAAATGGAACAAGTTGCACAGGGTACAACTGGGTTCAGTTCTTTATTCATGGAAGTCAATCTCATATAAACATAGACATGTCTGTGTATCTGTGTAACACTCAAACTAAGCTGAGCTTGAGGACATGCACCATGAGCGTGGATGCTCAGTTACATCTTGGTGTATAGTGAATATTTAATTTCTCATTCAGATGATCTGATGACCCTAACAGTCCTCCTCCTTTTTCTCCAAGTCCAAGTTAATTGAACATAACCTAGTGATGGTAATTTTTATTGTTTTTGCTGGTTAAAGTTACCAATTAGATTATTAAGTAGGTGGATGTAAGAAAATGACTTGTAGATTTTCTGTGGGTTTTCTTCTTCATTTTTTTTCATGGTAATTGTGCAGCAAGTGGTAATACTGACATACTGGAGAGGCAGAAGTTATTCCTAGAAAATATACTCAAATTGTTGAAATGGTTCTTGGATTAAATTTCTTTGACCTAAATTCTTTTATGTTGGGGATATTTTTAAAGGAAGAGATTTTCATTATCAGGAATCAAAGAAACTTCAAAAGAAAATTGTGATATGTCCAAAATTGAGAAAGTGAAATTCATTTCTTAAGATATTGTAGAGTATATAGCAAGAGTTACATAGAAGTAGTACTTCTTATTGAATAATACATTTTATAGCATGGAGATTGTACCGATATCATGACTTAAAGGCCTTTTAAAATGGGATTATTTGGGAGACGAGGGGAAGGGGGCATAAAAAGAAGACGTGTTATGTACATGTATCAGCTCCTCATGGTGAATGCAATCATTATGTACTGCAAACAAGTACTAATAAAAATTTTAAAAAGTAAGATCATTTTAACTATTGTAATGATTAGAGAGAATTTATTGTTAGTAAAAGTATGGATTTGTCGACAGAGAATTGACAGTTATATTTATTGACTGTTTCCTATGTGTTGGGCACTATACTAAAGCACTTTTCGTGAGATTGATGTTTAATCTCCTGTAATAATCTTATATAGGAGGAAACTGCTCTTGGGTGTGTTAGTTACCTTTCCATTGCTGTGAGAATAGATGACATACACTTTTGAAAGGCTCATGGTTTCACAAACCTCAGTTTATGGTTCACTGACTCCATTGCTGTGCACCATAGGTGAAGCAGAATATCACAGAGGAAAGGCATGCAGAGGAAAACGTGAGCCTCATGGCAGCCATGGAGCAGGGGGGGAAATGTGCAGGAGAAGGAGGAGCTGGGAACAAAGTATGTATGGCTTTGAAGCCACCCCCACGTGACCTGCTGCTTGCAATTAGTTCCCACCTCCTACTAAACCCATTGAGCCATGAACTCAAGGGCTTCATCTATTGGTGAAGCTAAAACCTTCACTTTCTCAAAGTGCCAGCTCTGAATACTGCTGTAGTAGGGACTGGAGCCACAGCACATGAGCCTGTCTAAACCGTCATGAGAGAATGGGCCAGTTTGCATGTGAATCTGAGTTTAGAGCCCAAATCCCTAGCCTCTCTTAAGTAAAAGTCATTGTGGTAGTTTGGGTTTCAGATCATCTATCAATGTCCAGATGCTACTACATTTTAGCACTAATTTACTTCTAGATACCAGTTAATTTAAGGTACGTATAAAGCTGGGTGTGATGGCTCAAGCCTGTGATCCCAGCACTCTGGGAGGCTGAGACAAGAGGATCACAGGTGTGAGCCTAAATTTCATGACTTAGCAAGACCCTATCTGAAAAGTTAAAAGGTAAAGATGAGTAAGGATGTAGCTCAGTGTGAAGGCCTGAGTTGAATCCCCAGTACCACACACACACTAAAAGTACATCTGAATTCTCTTTCTTATTCCTTACACTTAGGCATTGAAAAACATGGCAGTAGTAAAACAGAAACAATGAATAAGTCTCTGCATATCTCTAATTGCAGCGTAGCTGGTGACTATTTAGGTAAGTTTTTTATATTAATAATTTTAACCACAATTCTGTTTTTAATGTTTAAATTCCTGCAGCCATGGCTCACTGAAGTTTCTAAGTAAGTCAGGGCTCTCTTCATCACATGGCCTTTCTTCCTTTTTTTCAGTTTTGTCTTTCTGACTGCAGACCCACTTTCTTCCTGACTACCTGTGGCTTCTCATCTGTAGCCGCTGACCACCAAAGACAGGGGCTTCATCTCCCACTTCCACTTTGAAAATTCTTGGGGAAAAATTCTCTGGGTCTGGGTCTTGGGCTTCTCCTTCAAGCCAGTCTGTTGTCAGGGCTCATGTGCTGTGGTGGAACCAGCTTAGACGGCAGTCTGTGACTGGAGGCGGGTGGGCGGCAGAGCTGGACAAGGAACAGTGTTGGAGAGTCTGTTCTGCTCTTGGAATCTGAGCTTCCACAGAAAGCTTGCCATTGCTGTTTATGCCTCCTGAAGATTTAGACCAGATTACAGAAGAAGATGATGCCTGCAGTGTTCAAGGGAAAAGAAAAGCACCTGAAGCTGCAGTGCAGCGGAGGAAGATGCTTTTGGAAAACAGTGATGGCAGCAGCGCCAGTGACACTGAGCCAGATGATGCAACCGGTGAGTTATGTCTTGCTGCAGAGCTAATTCTGCGGAAAGTCAGTGAAGTTCCTGTAGGCCATGAATGTGTGCAAGGCGCCATGCTAACACTGTGGAGTATGCAGACTTGAGGAACACATAGAACGGTTCAATTCAGAGGTGGTATTTGGGGGAAAAACTTCTATGTGGAAATCTTTAAGTCATGCCTTGAAAAACAAGTAGCATTAAAATATACTAAAGAATAAAATAGTACCTCTGACTCATGGAAGGGTATAAGCAGTAGAGTGAACATATGCGTGTAGACTCACAAACCCCTGTTTAGTGAGGCTTGCTGGGGAAAAGGCTTTACAAGAGTCTAAAGAGACAGGTGGGCATCGTGTGGAGCGTCTCAGACTCTCTAACAGTAGACTTTTCTATAGGGAGTAGAAATACATGAAATAGTTTAAGTGAGAAGTGATATGAAACATATATTTTATTATGACTCTTGATTTCAGACACATTCAAAAATTCGGACAAAAGGAAAAGACACTGACCTCAACAGAGCATTGTAATATATTAATTAAAAATTAAAGTAAATAAATCCATAAATTAATACCAAAACAGATACTATATTTTAAATTTTAACAAATATTTGAAAATATATGATATATACCAGGCACTATGGGTACAGTCATGAACAAAACAGCTCCTGTCCTAATCGAGCTTAAATTCTAGTGAGGGGATGCACGTGGTAATCACATGATATATGAAGTGCCATGATGGGAGAACTACAAAGAAGAGGTAGTCCAGTTAGGAGATGTAACACGACTGTGGTGTTGGGAGTATGGGATGTTATTTTAGGTACAATGGTGGTGGAACATGGTGGAACATATACAAAGTCCTGAGGCAGGAGTGCTTTGTGTGGAGGAGTAGTGAAGCCATTGTGCCTGAAGCTGAGTAAGGGAAGGAGAAGCTAGTAAGAGATGAAATTAGAGAACAGACAGAATTGGGTCAGACCTGGTAGGTCACTGGAATTATTTGGCAAAGAGTGAACCTAATCTTACTTGAAATTTTAAAGGATCACTAAAGCTAGTAGGTTGAAAGTAGTCATCTATGCTGAACAAGGGCAAAAATGGTGATACCAGTTGGGAGAACACCCAGTGCTCCAGGTGAGGAATGACAATAGCTCTGAGACAAATCTGGGTTGGGAAAAATTGGAAGTATTAGCGTATAGACTGTGTTTAAAGTCACAAGGCTGAGTGAGACTGAGACTGTTTACAGAAGGACTGTAGATAGGGAAGAGGTCTTCATACTAAGCTCTGAACACTAATGTTTGAGGTCAGAAACACTAGGAACATTCAGCAAAGGAGGTTTAAAGGAATGGTTAAAATTGCAGAACCAAGAAAAGTAGTCAGTTATTTATAACTTGTTGGGTCTCCCAGGTAGTTGGGAGTTGACCAGTGGACTTGAAGGATCTGTAGGAAACTTGGTAGAAACAAAGGCCCAGGCGAATAAAGTTGAACAGAATGGGAGGCCTTGTGGGTGAGACGGCTGTCCAAGGAGCTTGTAATATGTTAATTAAAAATTAAAGTAAATAAATCCATAAATTTATACCAAAACAGATACTATATTTTAAATTTTAACAAATTTTCGCTGGAAATGGTCACAGAAGTGGGGCTGTTGGAAAGAGAGGTTTTTATGGCTGTTTTCCCCTTGTGTATAAATTAATGAAAATGATCTGCCTGAAGGGTAGAAATGGTGCCAAAGCTTAAAAACAAATAGAAAACTTGAAGAAAGATGTTATTTGAAATGAAGAAAGATGTTTTTAAAAATAAATAAATATTGGAAGGGCCACCAGTGCTGCAGAAAAGAAGAAACCTGGAAGGATACTAGCGCTTAAAGCACTGTTTCTCAGATGTGAAAGCTTACTCAGGAGCTTGGTAAAGTAGACCCTTAGGCCTCCCTTCCTAATACCGTTCCACAGGACAGGTGTAGAGCCTAGAAATCTGATTTTCTAACCAAAACTTAGCCCTCCATCAGACTCAGCTCAAAGCAGATAGGCTATAGATCTCATGCTGAAAAACACTGATTGATTTAGAGGGAGGACAAAAAGGCAGGAGACCATGGAAGAAAGAAGCCTAATGGAGCATGAATTTCCACACATGCTTCTCAATTTAAGGTTACTTCATACAGAATAAAATCTTAAAAAATAGTAATCAAAATTAACTCCTTGTCAGGTGTGTTTGAAGTGTTTTTTTCAGGGACAATGATTATAGCCTTCCACATTGTCAGTGCTGCTGTTTGAAGCAGAAACAACAGAAAAGCCAGTCAGCAACGTTAAAATTATGAGTTACAGCTTTACTTTAGCAAGTAAAGTTTATATGGAGATTATGATTTAGATAGAGATTTGACCATTGCCCCTTTGCTCTTCAAAGTAAGTAGTTAAAGATTCAAATAGACATTTCGGCCAAGAAGCACCTGAAATAGTACTTTAACATCGCTAACCATTAGAGAGGTGTGGATATCAAAACCATAGTGAGATATCACCTCACACCCATTAGGATAGCTACTTTTTTATTAGTCTGTGATACATAGTATTTATATTTGTTTTGAGGTGTCCTTACATACATAGATCATGATTATTTTCAGTCCTCTTCTCCCCACTTCCCATCTCCCTTTCCCCTGACCTCTTCCTCATTTATAAAGTGTCTTGCCTTCCTGTTTCCTGTCTCCTTTACTCCTTTATATTTTGAATTTCACATATAAGGTAAACCTGACTTATTTCACTTAACATTATGGTCTCAAGATCCATTTGCTTTCCTGTAAATGACTTGAACTTATTCTTCTTTATGGCTGATTAAAATTCCATTGTGTATATATACCACAGTGTCTTTATCCATTCATCTGTGTATGGGCATCTAGGCTATTTTCAGAATTTCACTGTTACAGTTATGCTGCTATAAACACAAGTATGCATGTATCACTGTAGTATGATGACCTTAACTCTCCTGGGAATATACCCAGGAGCCCTATAGCTGAGTCAAGTAGAATTTCAGTTTTTAGTTTTTTGAGGAATCTCCATACTGATTATCCTAGTGTTTGTACTAATTTGCATCCCCACCAACGATATACAAAGATTCCTTTTTTTCTACATCAGCATCACACCATTTATGGTTTTTTTCTTGATCACAACTGTTCTGACTAGAGTAAGATGAAATTTCAAAGCTGTTTCAACATGCATTCTCCTAATGACTAAAGATGCTGAACATTTTTTCAAGTTATTATTAGCCATTTATACATCATTGGAAGAATGTTCATTTAATTTGCTCATTTCTTGATTGGGTCTTTTGAGTTTGAGGGTTTAATATTTTGAGTTCTTTATATATTTTAGGTACTAATCCTATGTCAGAAGAGTAGCTGACAGTTTTTTTTTTTTTTCCTATTCTGTAGGTTGTCTCTTCACTCTGTTTTTTGCTGTGCAGTAGCTTTTAATTTAATATAATCTTGGGCCAGGGATATAGCTCAGTGGCATAAGTGCTTTCCTGGCAAGCCTGAGGTCATTAGTTCAATTCCTGGTACCCCCCCAAATAATAATAATTTAATATAATCTCATGTAGTGATTCCTAGCATTATTTCTTATGCTATTGGAGTTCTGTTCAGGAAATCCCTGCCTGTGTTGATGAATTTAAGTGTTTCCCCTCTACTATCTTGTAGCAGTTTCAGCATTTCTGTTTTTTATATCAGAATTTGGTGGTTGTTGGTCTGTTTTGATTTCATATTTTAGAACAGGGTAAAAAATATGGGCGTAGTTTCAGCTTTTTGCAAGTGAATAACAGTTTTCCAAACCATTTGTTAAAGAGGCCATCTTTTCTCTAGCATGTTTTGGGCCCTTTGTCACACATCGTGCATAGCTTGTTTCCATGTCTTATACTGTATTTCATAGGCCTGTGTGTCTGTTTTTGTACCAGGACCATGTTTTTATCACTGTAGCTTTGCTGTATAACTTGAAGAACAGGATTGTTTTGCTCTCTTAGCTCATGATTGTTTTGACTATTCTGGGTCTCCTCTGGTTCTGTATAAATTTTAGAATTTTTTTTCTCTAACTGTGAAGAATGTGGTTAGTATTTTAATAACAATTGCATTAACCCTATATATCTCCTTTGGTTAAATGGTCATTTTAATAATATGTAGTGAATTTTTTGTGTCTTCTATGTAAAGAATCATACCATATACAAATAAAGATGGTTTGACTCTTTCCCTACTCATACCCCTTGCATTGCTTCCTCTTGTGTGGCTAAAGTTTTGAGTCCTGTATTGAAGTGGTGTGGTGAGAGTAGACAACCTTGTCTCATTTCTTAATTTAGAAGGGTTACTTTCAGTTTTTTCCATTTAGTTTGATGTTGGTTGTGGGTTTTTTGTATATGGCTTTTATCAGTTTGAGGTAAGGTTTTTCTGTAGCTATTATCAGAGTTTTTATTATGAAGAGATCTTGAGTTTTGTCAAAGCCTTTTTCTGTGTCTATTGAGACTGAAGCCGGCAGGTAGACAAACCGAAGACAGCTAGGATAGGGACCTGAGTAAACCAAGATACGTCCTGGGAAAATTAGAACACAGGGTGAAGAGACTCCTTGAAGTGTGCTATGGGAACCTGGGGCAGGGGTGCAGGAGAAATCTGTTACGATGTCAGAGGCCTAGCCAACAGTACAGCAACTCACTGTTTCAAAGGAAAAGGGCCTGGGTAAACTGAGATATGCCCTGGGAAGCTGTGGGTACAAGAGAATTTTGCTCCTCCTAATGTCAGAACCTTAGCTAAACTGCCAGCTGCATTGTTTCATGGTTTTAGTTTCATGCATCACCGAAGTAATCCAACAAAGTGCATGTAAGCCTCTAAACTTGGGTGCCCTCTTGGTATCTTCCCTTGGAGCCCCTCTGGGCTAATGAGAACTTTTCTTTGTTTTCTCTAATAAACTACATTTGGCTCATTCCCCACTGCTGTGTCCCTGGACTTCATACTTAGTAGTCTTCAGAACCCAGAAAGAGGAA